CTTCCTACAGAGAGAGAGAGAGAGAGAGAGAGAGAGAGAGAGAGAGAGAGAGAGTGGGGAGGGCAAAGGCCTCGAGAGGAACTTTTGCTAAACAGATAAATGTTTTCTGAATGGATAGCAACTTCTTTAAGAGAAGTTTTCACTTCAATGATACTCGGTACTCCATATGGAAAGAAAATTCTTTACCAAAAGAAAGCATGGAAACAGACAAGTTCGTTCTCTCACTTACTAAAGCTAATATAGATGCATGTATTTGCGGATACTTTTATATAATATGGTGAATCGAAATGTAACATGCAAGACTGCAGAAAAAGCCAATTGATGCATTGTTCAGATACCTGTGCACATAATTGTGCTGATGAATAGAATGAATTGCTAAAATACTTTCTGCCATATAGAACCGTGCGACATCTTCAGAAAGAATATCTTCTCTCATCAGTAAGGTCATAATGTCACCACCAGGTAAGTATTCCATGATAAGGTACAAGAAATCTGAATCTTGGAAAGAATAGAATAGTTTCACTATGCACCGACTATCAACCTCTACTAGCAAATTCCTCTCAGATCTGACATGCTCAACCTAAAATAACCACATGAAGTTTATTTATATCAGCATACTTGAATATTATAATTGTAGACATGGAATTAACCATAGAATTTGTAAACAGATTAGTGTAGAATATCGGTAATTGCAATTGCGCACACAATATTCATAAACCTAAATCTGCAGCTTAATATTGTACTCTTTAGTTCACTTACACTAAAATGGTATGAGAAGGAGAAGACTTATGCCATTTGGGCACCTCACTCTCTATGTTTCTCAATATGTGGTTAAATGTTGTTAATTTAATTTCGTTTCTGCTATTGATTAGTTCAGTATTAAAAATTCTTTTGCAATAAGTTAGAAACCTACTCATGTGAGCAATTTATAAGAACAGATTCTACATTATGATATTTAGTGATGCTTTCAAACGGATATATTAGAAGATTATATCCTTATGTACCCTAACTGTGCTCTTCTAACTAACTAATATGTTCAATACTGCCATACAAGAAACATGCTGATTAGAAAATTCTTCAACCAGATTCTGCAAACAGTCTTATATAAATTTTCCGTAAAAAGCAGTATTTCGTTATATCATCAATGTCTCACCTGCCCACGGCTAAGCATCTCTGATTTCTTCAATTTCTTCATGGCAAATACTTCACCAGTACTTTTGGATCGACACAGTCTAACCTGCATTAAGTAATCAAATCATGTAAGAAAATCATTTCATGTGAAATGTGTTTTATCTGTGTCCACATGTCAGCATTGCGTAATTTTATGTCTTAATATGCTAAGGCAATAGAGTTCTAACTGAAAGTAGAGTTTGAAGACGTTTCTTTCAGGATAAGCACGGATCTCGTATGTATGGCATATAGCTTATGCCAAGTTAATGGTTCCTCCACCTTGACAAACATTACAAGGGAGTTGATGCAGTTTGAAAGATCAGATAGAAAAGCTATCAGGTCTCCGAGCAGATATCCGATTTGATATCATCAGAAAACATTGTGGATGTTGAAATTATCAAAAGTCCCACATCGGTGAGTGACAATTTTGAATGGATTATTTTCCCTATAAAAGAAGGCCTAATGTTTAGGATTTGAACACACCTCTCATTTGCCTTCTTATCTTCTTAAGACATTTGTATCTTCTCTCTTTAGTATTATTTCACTTGTATTTTGGAGTGGAATAAAATATTGGTTGTGTCCGAGGAAGCAGGCTAAATTGGCCGAACCTCGTAAATTTTGGTGTTCCTTTTATTGTTGCTTTATTGTCTTATTTATTATTTGGTGACTGTCATAATTTTTGGTATAGTAGTTGTGACTCATTCACACTATATATATTTGGCTTCCGCAACAATTGGTATCAGAGTCAAGGTACTGTCTAAGTATGTTCTGTGGTTGCAGCATAGTCTGATCTTCCACATCAGAAAAGATTTATCTTGGTAACTGAGTCAAGGTTCTGTCTGAGTTGCTCTGTGGTTGCAGCTTAGTCTTATCTTCCATACCATAAAGAAAATAATCTTGATTTGTGTTTTCAGCTATTAAATAATATTTGTGTCAAAGATGAGAGACAATAAACAAGAAGAATCTACATCAAGTGCCAACAATACGTCATCATTGGCATCTTCGCTTATGACAAGAATTGTGTCAAATGCGAAATTTGCGGTAGAAATGTTTGACGGGTCAGGACATTTTAGGATATGGCAAGGCGAGGTTCTAGATGTCCTTTTTCAACAAGGGTTAGATTTTGTCATTGAAGAAAAGAAACCAGATGTTATTGGAGAAGAAGATTGGAGAATTATCAACCGTGTTGCTTGCGGTACCATTCGATCCTACCTTGCTAGAGAGCAGAAATATCCATACACAAAGGAAACTTCTGCAAGTAAATTATGGAAAGCACTGGAAGATAAATTTTTGAAGAAAAACAGTCAAAATAAATTGTACATTAAGAAGCTGTTTCGCTCACCTATGTTCCTGGTACCACGATGAACGAACATATCACCAGTTTCAATAAGTTGGTCACAGATTTGCAAAATATGGATGCAACTTTTGATGATGGTGACTTGGCCTTGATGTTGTTGGGGTCACTTCCTGATGAGTACAAGCACCTTGAAACTACGCTACTCCATGAAAATGACGAAATTTCTCTCAGATAAGTTTGATCGGCTTTGTACAGCTATGAACAAAAAAAGGGAGAAAAACAGAAGGGCGGAGAAGGAGAAGAACTGGTTGTGAGGGGTCGTCCTCAAAATCAAACAAGGACAACGAAGGGAAGATTCAAGTCAAAATCTAGACCCAGCAAAGATGAATGTGCCTTTTGTCGAGAAAAGGGGCACTGGAAGAAAGACTGTCCGAAGTTGAAGAATAAGGCCAGACATAACAATGGAAAGGCCATTATGGATTCAAATGTAGCTGATTGTGATGATTCAGACTTCTCATTAGTTACAACAAAGTCATCAACATCATCAGACATATGGCTGATGGACTCGACTTGTAGCTATCATATGTGTCCCAACCGTGAATTTTCAAGAACAAGAATATGGAGTCATCCACACAACGGATAACAGTCATCTTACCTCATATAGCATTGGTTCAATACGATTAAGGAACCATGATGGAATGATCACAACATTAACAGATGTTCGATATGTACCGGATTTGAAGAAGAATCTCATCTCTGTGGGAGCCCTAGAATCAAAAGGGTTCAAAATCATTGCAGAGTATGCTCCGGTGCACTAGTGGTAATGAAGGCTAATCTGAAGAACAATAATATGTACCGCTATCGTGGCAGTACATTTATTGGGACAGTGATCGTGACATCAGTAACGACAAAGAGGCAGAAGCAACCAGGCTATGGCATATGCGCTTGGGACATGCTGGAGGAAAATCCTTGAAAACTCTATCAGATCAAGGATTGTTAAAAGGAGTAAAGGCTTGCAACTTGGAGTTTTGTGAGCATTGTGTCAAAGGGAAACAGACAAGGGTTAAATTTGGTACAGCGATCCATAATACTAAAGGCATTTTGGATTATGTACACTCTGATGTTTGGGGTCCTTCCAAAACACCTTCATTGGGTGGGAAGCACTATTTTGTAACCTTTGTTGATGATTTTTCTCGAAGAGTGTGGGTGTATACAATGAAGAGCAAAGATGAAGTGTTGGGAATTTTTCTCAAATGGAAGACGATGGTGGAGAATCAGACAGGCAGGAGAATCAAGTGTATTCGCACAGACAATGGAGGTGAATACAAAAATGATCATTTCAATAAGGTCTGTGAAAATGATGGCATCGTCCGACACTTCACTGTTAGACATACACCACAACAGAATGGAGTGGCAGAACGTATGAACCGGACCTTGCTGGAGAAGGTATGGTGTATGGTGTCCAATACTGGCTTGGACAAAGAATTTTGGGCTGAAGCAATTACATATACATGCCACCTCATTAATCGCTTACCATCTGCTGCTATTGATGGCAAGACACCATTTGAAAAATAGTATGGAAAGCCTACTGTAGATTATAACTCTTTGCACGTATTTGGCTCAACTGCATATTATTATGTGATAGAGTCAAAATTGGATCCAAGGGCAAAGAAGGCTATTTTCATGGGGATTACTTCTGGAGTCAAAGGATATCGCTTATGGTGTCCTATGACAAAGAAAGTAATATTCAGCAGGAATGTTACCTTTGGTGAATCTGTTATGGTAAATAAGGTAACAGAAGATACCAAACAAAATGAGGGTGCTTCTAAGCAAGTGGAGTTTGAGGGAAAATTTATTTTTCCTACACAAGAAGCAGAAGAGGAAACAAATGAAGATTATCCTCTGGAAGAAGAGCCAGTAGAAAGGGAGATTCTAACTCAGGAACCTCAACAACAACTTGAATCAATAGCAACCAGCAGGCCAAAAAGGATAATAACAAAACATGTTCGTCTTATAGAGACGGTTGCTTGTGCCGCCTCAATTGTAGTTGATGATGTTCCTACCAC